AATGACACCTTCTAAGTGTAACACAATTTTAAGTACCAAGCCATTATACACTTCTGGGACCTTTGAGCAGAGTCAAGTGCCAGTCTTCATGTCAGGGCACATGGGGATGAGGGAGTCACGTGTGCCCCAGCCTCTTCCCCCCACGCTCAGGTTACCTTGACAAGGGAATCAGTTGATGGGCTCCATCAAGCACTCAAGTGCAAATCAAGAGATAACAGCATGGACCCCTGGACTGCAAAAGCAGTGAAAAAGCAACGTGACAGTATTGCTGTACCACAGAGGGCAGTTCACAGTATCGTTTATATTTCAATGGACATAAAATAACATAAATCCTTGAACATGGCATAATTGTGCAAATACTCGTAATTACTAGGTTTCCCCCACACTGATCTGTATATCAAAAAGACTGAGGTATAGAGTTAAACTTCCAGCTAAGTGGATCGTTCTGCTGAACCTAAGTCAATTACCTGTGTTCTACAAGTTAACAGGAAGGACAGAAGTAAAATTTTTTAATTCCTTATTATACGGTAATGACGACCTTGAATGGCAAGATTTCTGACACTTATCTTTGAAATAATAACTCAGATTAGATTATATTGTAATAGATTATATTCAATATAATTTTGGTTATTTTAAAACTGAGGACTTACTACCCATGAAAACACTAAAAAAGTTGCATTTATCAAAAAGACTATGAGCCAGAAAGAAAAAATATACAACTTTGCAGGTTTGCTCTATTTGCTTAAGGTTTAACACCATTAAAACTGTTAAATATATATATATGTTACAAAACAGGCACAGCAAGAATTACAGTATTCTGTATTGTGTATCACCTTCCCAGAGTGCAAATTCACAGTGGATGAATGATTAACATTAAGGGAAAATTATTCCTCTGATTACCAGCAGGAGAGAGATAAAGTGAACACAATATATTGCTGAATTTAGCACTATAATCACAAGAAGAATTTTTACAGATATATTGCAGCAGGGAATACTCCCAGTTTTACACACAGGAATTTCCTGAATCTAATATGTCATTTATTCCTGGCAAAGTCTGTCCTTTGTCTACATATATTTCATTTTTCCTAAACAGAACAGCACTAAGCTACATAAGTGCTGGACCAACTTCTGCCAGATTTAACTACTGTATATAGTAAAGCTTTAGTAAAGCATTACATCTTATTATCTGAAAGGTGACCTAGAGGAGCACCTTAATCATCCTACCAGTTACAAAGGACATTTCAAAGCCTACAACGTACCTCATTTTAGAACAATTCACAGTAAGATGTACTCTTGAAGATTCTTTTTTTTACTTTGTTTTGTGAAGATAAACAGCATAGAGTAAGGTGTCCTGACAGAGGGGAACTCTATACAAAGGCAAATGTGAACAGAAGAGGACTTTAAGCACATAGCAATCATCCTTTTAACTGTATTTTTCCCATGACTCTCTGTATACTATTTTTGACAGCCCTGCAAATTTTTAGACCAGTTTTCCAGGCCTTATTTCCATTATAGTCAATAGTCCAGACACTTCCACTACCATCACAGTCCTGATGAAAATTAGACTTCCTTTCACTTCTTATCTTGCACCTTGTTTTGCTTTGTTCTGCAGTGAAGTCTTACCTTCATTAGATAACTTCATTATCTATCATTGTAAAAGCAACTGTGCTGCGAAAAATGCATCTCTTCATTGTCCGAATATGGAAACGACAGACTCGGAGAGAAGGAACATGAAACGAAGCTCTTGTGATTAGCAAGCAGTAGCACGGAAAAATACGATTGTTTAAAATTATTCTATGCTATTTAGACATTTCTACTTTACGAAGAAAATTCTCTTCCATCCCCAATGCCAAGCACTGGAAACCAGTTTTGGCTCTAAGCATTTCTCAGGATTTTAGACGAAGGGAATCTGCGACTACTATGACAAACCTGGGCTGCAGTAGCAATGCTGGTCCTGCACCCTGGCTCCATGAGCAACAAAACCATGGAGCTCTACCTCTGCCTAGCAAGTACTGGGTCTTTTCCTTACCAAACTGTTCTTCACGTTCAGCACCACTGAGAAGCCCTGGAGTGCCGAGCTCCTTACTGTACTCTTTGGAGAAGCCCAGACCTACCATTTGAGTTCAGCATGACATTCAGCATAAGTTCACATGGCCTGTGATTTCTGCTGTTGCTGTCAGCTGATGCCAGAGTACGACAGCCGAGCACAGGGCGTATGTGGCTCATCTGTTTGAAGTCTGTCTAAATTTTGACTCACAGAATGACTGTCGGTTTGCATTGAGCGACTCATGGATCACACATGCCATTACTCAGAGGTAACAGATTCAACATTATATTTGCAGGTCTCACTTATTTCACTCAAGCTAGTTCCCTGTAATATTCAGAAAAAAGCTAGACACCCCCTCAAAATAAAAAAAATTTGATTTCATATGTTTGTGTTGTTATCCCAGTGCTCTGAAAATGATGTACATTTTAATCCAGACATAATTTTTATTTAATAGCCTGGCCATGATACCAGTTTCCAGAATGCATGCCCAAACAATGAACATTTTTGTGAGCATAATATGTCCAATAACTAAGTACAGCTAGGTCAGCTGCTTAAAATTGCAGATCTTCTTTTACAGTATTTCCTTTTCTGAGTATATTTACATAATACAAAATAGACCTTTAATTTCAATAAATTACAAACTCTTCTACCGTATTTTTTAACAGAACTGGGGCATTTAAATATTTTCAGATAATCTTTCTTTTTAAGGATACGATTTCAGTCACTTCAAAGTGCTACTTACAGCTTCATCTGCTCTACAGATTAAAAACATGCACAACAGAGGCAAGTTTTTTAATAGAATTCCTCACATTTTAGAAGAGATAATGTTTGAAATTGCTTCTTATACTCCCCTGCCTGTTTGTGGAAAAAGGTGTTCAGCCGAGGTCCTAAGCATCCTGAGACATCACAGACCAAACCCTTGTATCTGAAATGCTGCTTATGGCAAAAGGTACAGGCTTCACAGCACTGCTATGAGGACCTGGAACACACTTGCAGAGATTTTTATATTGAAACTACATTCTCATATTGCTGGTTGAAATACTTACTGCTTGCAGAGAATGAATTTTCATTCAGACCTGTAAAAATATTTTCAGCTTCAATGTATTTATGCAACGCTATGTCGAGATTGTGCTGCACTTAAACCCAAGCAAAACAAGCCTGCAGCTGCATAGTCAGTTCATCAACTAGCTTTTTGGAAAACAAGAATTTTATTTTCATGATTGTGCTGAATTCAGGATTAGAAAGCTCTTAAAAAAAATCTTTTACTTCATATGGAAAGATCTCAATGCCAGAAAAATTCAGGAGTATTGTATTGGATTATTCCCAAACAAAGTTTACAATTTTCAAATATGTAAACGCCTAAGCCTGGACAACTAAATCCTCATTTACTCTCATAAATTACTGGGCTGGATTTCAGAGATTTTGAGAACTCTCAGTTATCTCTCTACTGCCAAGGAAGAACGTTGTGTGCACTTCTCTGTAAACCGAGGCACTTGCTGTGGTGATCAAATACAACATGTTGTCCACACATAGATGCCCCCACTTTTGAAATTTACTGATGAAGCCTCTGGCATTACTAGGTGCAAGTCAAAATAATGGTTATTAACCAAATTGTGGATTTGCTTGATTAGCAATGGAAAAGTGTCGGTGGCAGCCTATATCCCATTGCTCACTGCAGTGAGACCAATGACGCGCACTCCATTATCAGTATTTCAGAATACACATGCTTCACCTATTCAGTTCAGACAGAAATGAGACTGTTGGATTACACTGCCGTGAGATGAACAAAAATTAATTTATCTCTAGCTATTCACTTTAGTATTTTAAATATTATTCTCTGTCTCACCTTTCCTCTTGCACCTACTGTAAGCCCCCTCATCTCAGACCCTAAACCAGGAGAATCACAGCTACAAGCCATTTTGAAGGTCACCTCCAACTTCAGAGTATCTATTTCTCTAGGACTGAGAGAGTCTTGGTGTTACTTAAGTATAAAATGTTTTCCTTTTGCTATGCCGTATGTGCGTACAATAATGCAGGTAACAGGAAATATTCTTGCTAATACAGCACCATCAGCAAGATGCTGACCAGTTTCAAATCATTGCATACCTGGCTATCTGCAAAGTGAAGCTTATTTCTTAAAGTTCATAATATTAATAAAAGATGCTGACAGGCTGCTGGAGGTTTCCAGCTATAGAAAAATGCAAGAGGTTACAGTAGGGCCAGCCTTACCATTGAGAGAATCTGTTAAAAAACACAGGTCATTTATCCAGGGTTTATGCTACCGACACAACAGAATGGACATCCTGGGGACATTGCCACCATTTTGCAAGCTGGGCCTGACGTCTGTACTGTTGCACTCTGGTAGCACAATCATCAGCACATGGTGAAATTAGTACCAGTCAAACAGTATTCAACTGTAAGGCCGCCTGCAAAGCTTGAAGTCTTAAGCTGTTAGTTCTCTTTAACACGATAATCTACAACTCTCTATAAAAGCATCTAAAAGGTGGAACGCACATTCCACTACCGCTCTCAGAATCTTTGCCATTTCGATAATGAATAGAGCTGCTAAAAATCAGCTGCAGCTGGCAGAACTAATACTTGAGACAAAAGCAGGGAGACGTTGGGTTTTTTACATTTTCTCTTATGCCTGAGGAAATAGTGTATATATGGCTCCTTGCCCATCCACTCAAACACTTAAGTCACACACCTATGCCTCTGGAGATGGGTGTTTGTGTGTGTGGGAGGCAATGCACAGGGATGAGGCGAGGTCTGGCAGGCAGCACCATGGGCTGCTGAAACCTCAAACCACACTTCATGTACACAGTTTAGTGCTCACTTCATCCACAAACCCAAACTAGCATCCAGTCCATTTATGTATCCAAGCTCTTGCTTGCCCAATTCATGTACTAAAACCAGGACCCCGCTGATCGGGACGCCTGCCCCACTTCCTCACCTGACCACGTTGGGGTGCTCGAACGTCTCCAGGTGCCTCAAAACTGCCACCTCTCGGATGGTGGACAGCGGCATCCCCTCCTCGCTGGTCTGCACCCGCACCCTCTTCAGCGCAACAAAGCGACCTCCGTTCTTCAAGTCTCGGGCTTTGAACACCTTCCCGTAGGCTCCTTCTCCAATCTCAGCCACACATTCATACTGCTGGTCTGCCACGTTTGTGCTGTCCTTATCCATGCTGGCGCCGGTCCTCTTCCTCCCGTGATCCACGTGCCTCGGGATGGCTCTCAGTCTCACTTGCTTTCTGAAAATTAGTACTTTGCTCACGTTGCAGATAGGCCACGCACTTGGTACCTCTGCCAGAGGGACAGTAGGAAGTTCTCGCCCTCCTGTTCTTGTTCCTCTTCTGTACCGGACACAATGTGCCTCCTCTTTCAGCCACTAGGAATTATCATACAGTCTTTGAGAGCATTGTCTGTGTAAAGCCAATTAGATCTAGAGGACAAACCAAGCAAGAAAAGTGAGTTCAGTTTACTTCATTACTTTGCATTGTTCAAAAACTGAGACAATTAAACTAATATAGTAGGCAGCTACATGCAAAGCAAAAACGTGGTGCAAAGGAAGACATGAACCACCAGGGTGACACGTCTCAACGTCCCTGCATGGCTGATACAACACTCCAAAGTTATCATGGTCTGCACAGAAGGCTACAATACACAGCTACAGAGCAACCGCGTGCTGTGGGATTTTACTGAGCAATGGGCTGAATAGGATGACCCTGAGACAGGAGTGATGGGGACGGCAGAGCTAACTATGCATGTGTGAGAGGAAGTTATGTCCAGGAACTTATGCCAGGATTGCAGGACTCAAATGTTTCTTCAGTGCACATGGTGGAGTCTTGAAAATATTACGGTTACTTATTTGTAAATAATAGCCTTTGGAGGTTTCAGCCTTGATCTGCTCTCCCCTGTGCTGAGCCCTGCATGAACATATCGCAAGAGACAAGTTCCTGCCTCAAAGCGCCTGTGGGGAGGAGAAATATGTACGTATTTAAATGACGGTAATAGTATGCTACCGAGCATTGTGTGCTGAGATAGATTCAGAAATGCTCACTTTAGCAAACTTATTAACATGTAAGGGTTTTAGCTGTGGATATTGCTACTGCTGGGTGTGTGGCCAGCAGTTCCTTGCAGAGCAGCATGAAGAAAGATGGTCTTCAGGAGCAGCACGCTCTGCTGTCTAGTGCATGAGGCTGGAGAGCAGAAGCGCTTCCTTCTGCATCCAGTTTCATCCACACTTTCTGCGGGATGGTGGGCAAATCCTCTCCCCTCACAAAGCTCCACATCAACGCTCCCTCTTCCCCCTGCCCCTTTTTAATATAATGATATCGCGACCTCTGGGGCTGTAACCCTCTCCTACACTGCATTTTTACCGTGCTAGGATTAAAGAGCCCCAGATCGTTCAGTCGGGGATCCCCTAACTCGAACCCACGCATAAAGCCGGAGGTATTTTGCACATATACGCTGATCTTACACCTTAGTTGCAGATGAAAATAAGAGCAATCTAAAGGAAACCTGTGCCCGCTGCTCATCGCTCTTCCCCGGCTGCAGCCAGAGGCACCTCCCTGCCCCACCGACTCCAGCTGCCACCACCACGGCTGCCGCCGCACCACCCGTCCACCGGGCAACCCCGCGGACCCCGCACCTCCGCGCCCGCAGCATCTCCGGGCGGCACCGAGCGCGGACCGCCGCGCCTTGCCCTCGCCGCCGCGGGGGGACACCTGTCCCGTAGCCCCCCGGCCGGGGCCGCCC